AATCTACCCAAGGCGAGACAAACTCCTACCACCGTCACCACCATCTACCACAACATGTTAAGACACTTTACGATGATCTGCACCAACCTGATATAAATTCTCGTCCTTTCCACTTGAACAATCATTTATTAGACATGCAAAAAATACCAGGAGTTTCATTTATTTTTCAGTTCAATGACTATTCAACCGGTGATAAGTTGTTCCTTGTCTTTGTCATGCAAAGACAAGGAAACACCACTAGAAGTATAAAATGTGTTAGCTATCAAGCTAATAAATATTTATAGTGCAATTAGATAAACAGGCCACACTGTCGACGACATAAAACAGAAATCTATAGTCCAAAGGAATCACTGAAATTTGTTTCATAACCTGTCTTTTGCTTTTTTCTGTAGTTTCCACTACAGAAAACTACAGATCATGACGTTGATCTTGACTGAACCTTTCCTGGAGATATCAACAAGGTTTTCCTATATTAAGGAATACATAGCAAAAACATGTAATATCTGAAACTTGAAAAGATGACCACCATTTGCTGTATAGAATCTTTTAATATCAGAAAGTTCAAAGATCAAAAAACCTTTTTCTTTTCCAACTTTTATTTGTTGAAAGACGTGGTCGTTTCTAAATCATATTAAAATAACCCGAAATTCGCAGTTTTGTACAAAATCTGTACACCGACCGACCCATATCAATTCTGTGCAAAATATTTTTCATGGAATTGCATCCCCTAACAAGACTTTGAAGTGATTGTTGCTACGTGTTCATCCAGGAAGAATGAATGCTGAAAGTCAAAGATTTTACGCTATTTGCTTGATTTCCTTACATAGAAACATTTTCATCTACTTTGAATAATTAATTGAGCATAGTGTACTGTTGGATAACTATGGTCAAATGGAATGTATGTGTGACTGAACTGATATTATTTCTCTGTAAAGCACCTTGCGACGTTTGTTGTGAATTACTGCTATAGAAATAAACTGAACTGAATTATTTCAAATACAAAGGCTAATTTTATTTAATTAGCCTTTATGTTTGCTTGTCAGTGTGTAACGTCAATAATTCTTAAAATTAGTAACTTTTTGTCACCTTGTTGCATAGATGATTTATATGTATTGAGTTTCATGCTGATGCTGTCACATCATTGCTGCAGGGCTTGGAACACTAATAAAGATTTCAGCTGATAAACATCAGGTTTATCCTGGTATTTATGTCCTGCACATCAGTTACATAAGTATCATTATATTTTATTGTTTAACACTGTGTAATAACGAGAGAGGTATTAAAATACCATGGTGAATAAAATTTGAACTATAAATCTACTTCAACTAGAAGATTGACAGTACTCATTACAAAGTTTAGCGCTGACATATGGGAGATATTAGTAGAGGTGGGCAGAGTACAGAAAACACGTAGACAAGGAAGAGTAGCACTACTACATATTTTTACTCAACTAAAAGTAAAAAGCAGTTGTCCAAGAAATGACTCAAGGGAAAAAAGTATTTAATATTCAAGTCTATTCAAGTACTGAGTAACTGATCAAAATATAAATCATTAAATATTTAAATATTACATAATCAGGCGGAGCGAAATATAAAGTCAAGTGGAAATTTTGGTATTTTAAGGACAAAAATGACAATAATTCACATAAGTAACAAAAATAACAAAATCACGCAAAATAACATTTTTCAAAATCAGTTTATTTCAATAACAAATAAAAAAAAAATTATGAAACTTTAACAAAAACTGCAGCTGTGTGTCTGTGTCTGGTGAAATTTTGTTTTATTTGTTTTTCATTCAGTGGGTAGATAATCTAGAAATTTTAGTCAAGTAAGAGTAGAAATACTTTATAGTAAAATGACTCAAGTAAAAATGAAAGTACAGGATAGAAAAAACACTCCTAAGAGTAAATAAAAAAAATACAGTAAATGTAATATAGTAAATGTAATTAGTTACTATCAAACTGAATATTAGTAAAGTGATTTTAAAAAATGTACTGTTCTGGACTTTTACATAGTTAAACTATACATAAGCATATTTTTAAAGTGGTCTCTCCACTTTAATATGCACTCAGTAAACAAAATTGTCACACTGAAAGTATACAGAAATATGTTATATTTTAATATTCTTGTTTTGCTTTGACATCTGGCATTCCATTTGTGATTTTATCATTGCTGCAAGGTATATGCATCATGGTCATGAATCACCACAATTTCCTGTAATTTAACTGGCAATTTAATTTCAGGTTGTCAAATATTGCTGAGTTTATTTGTGTTGGCTTTATATCCCCATTATGCAACTCTGAAGCTGATCTGCACAGCTGACCGTTTTCTTTTCATCCCAGTTTTGTGTCCCAGGCTGGATCAGTACTGTAGTTCACAATCACAGAGGGCAGAAATATGACCTGTAAGCTGCAGAATATATTGTTGAGTGACAGTCAGTGGTTTTCTAAAGAAAGAAGATAGAGCAACCAAAGCTCTGAATAGAAAAAACTCCAATTATGCTGGAGAAATACTCCATTAGCCTTTCTGCTAGCTTGCCTATGTGTGAACGCAAAATGGAAAAATCTCACCCTTTTGAAGTTATTCCATTTTCTCTCTTATGTTGTTGCATTTTTTTTTCAGGTATATAAAGTTACAGTCTGCTTGATGCAGGAAATTCAGCCATGAAGCAATTAATATATAAATATAATAGCAAATTAAAGTACATAATAATTTTTGTGAAAAGGATGTTGTTTCTGCAGCTGACTTAAGTATTTTATTTACTGCACTATTTTGACCCTATCTATTCTCCTAGCAGGTTCTCATGACAACAGCAACAATATTGTACTGATGTACAGTGCTCAAAGGTCTTTATGGTTGATCAATGATATGATAATATGTAATTTGTTGCGCAATCTCAATGACACCTAGACCCTGACTAAGTAAATTATTGTCCATATGTAGCATTGTACCATCTTATCTTTACATATTCTAATAAACATTATATTTATGATTCTAGTTTGTTGGAGGTTGGTACAATTTTTGTTATCTCCCCCTCTCTCTCTCTCTCTCACTTTCTCTCTTCAGCAGTGTATAAAAGACCACAGTTTGCTGCCACTCGTTGGATTTCTGGTCTGGTCCCACGGTGAGTTGAGGAGGGGAAGGACGTCCTCTGATGTTTCACTGAAACTGGCTGTGCTGACTTTCCTGTGTTACTAATTTAAAAACTCTCTGTTTCTTTCTTCTTTTTTTTCTTGTAGTCATCTAAAGAAGTTTTGAGGAAAAAAAAACTAAATTACAACATGGCAAGGCTCGTATTGCTCACAGGTATTGTAAAAATCATGGTTCAACAACCATTATGAGGTCCATCTGTATTGTTGAATGTATGGTTTAATTTGTCTCCCTATTCTTTTATCCTCCAAAGCCTTGTGTCTGGTGCTTGTCCAGCTGGGTAAGATAAGACATACTTTCACGATTTACATACTTAATTTTGAAGAACTCCACTTTGAGGTTATAATTTCATATGTTGTTGTTCTTTCACAGCATACACAAGCAGAATGGAGTGCTATTTCACCAACTGGTCTCAGTACAGGCCTGGTGATGGCAAATTCCTGCCACAAAACGTAGACCCCTTTCTGTGTACCTCTCTGATCTATGCCTTCTCCATCATCAATCACGCCAACGAGCTGGTTACCTACGAATGGAACGACGATGTCCTCTACAAGGCCTTCAATGACCTGAAGTTGAAGTAAGTCAACACAGTTAAGATCATTATGTCAGACAAACATTTAAAGCATAAAGTTTTAAATGTTCACTTCTACTCAACACTGCACTTCATGCTCTTCAAATACTCTGTTTTCTTTTTATTTTTCTAGGAATCCTCACTTGAAGACTCTGCTGGCTGTTGGTGGCTGGAACTTTGGCTCCACTCAGTAAGTAACTGTGCAAATCAAAATGTTACCAAGTATGACTTTCTGGTACAAGGATGACACATCCGGATTGTCTTTTAAACTCCTGAGACAAATGACCTGCAGCAAAAGGTCAATAACTATTGGCTGACTTTGTCTAAAAAGTGTCTTGGTCCTTAAAATCTGTCTCCTACAGGTTTTCCATCATGGTGTCCACACCAGAAAACCGTCAGAAGTTCATCCAGTCTTCAATCAAATTCCTGAGGCTGCATGGATTTGATGGACTGGATCTGGACTGGGAGTACCCGGGTGCCCGTGGAAGCCCCCCTGAAGATAAGGAGAGGTTTACTCTTCTCTGCAGGGTAGGTTGAAAAAAAACAACAACCTTCTTTTGCAACACTAAACTATATTTCCATGTTTTATGTTGACCTCCATCCTCACAGTTTTGGGGTAATTATTGCAGGAACTTGTTGCAGCTTATGCTGCAGAGGCTGCAGCCACAGGTAAACCTCGCCTCATGCTGACTGCTGCAGTGCCTGCCGGAAAGGGAACCATCGATGGTGGATTCGAGATCGCTGAGGTTGCCAAGTAAGTGCTGTGTCAAGTTGTTTCTCACAGGAAGTCTGGGAGTTGTTGACTAAGGGTTTTGTTTACCTAGGGAACTGGACTTCATCAATGTCATGACCTATGACTTCCATGGAACTTGGGACCAGTTCACTGGCCATAACAGCCCACTGTACCAAGGATCTGAGGATTCAGGCGACCTCATCTATTTCAACACTGTAAGGATCCTTTTGCATCCTTATACCATCCTAAAACATATGTCAGGTTAACTGTCTCCTAGTTTGCCTTTAGGTGTGTTTGTGTGAATGCAAGATTATTAGTTCTGAGTGAATCTGTATTGCCCGGTGAAGGACTTGCACTCTGTCCAGAGTGCACCCCACCTGCCATCCACATGAGATAGGCCCCCCATTCCTATGATCTTGCACAGATCACAGGAATGGGGGAAGATGTAAGGGCTATCTATGCATGTGCAAAAAAATGAAAGGATTGTTTTGGTACCATGGTATTTTTATTTATTTATGTTTATCTTTTGTTCAATCAAAATTCTTAGGACTACGCAATGAGGTACTGGAGAGACAATGGTGCCCCATTAGAGAAGCTGAGAATGGGATTCGCAGCCTACGGTCGTACCTTCCGTCTAACATCGGCAAATACAGCTGTTGGAGCCCCTATAAGTGGACCTGCTTCAGCCGGACCATACACCCGTGAAGCTGGATTCTGGTCCTACTATGAAGTAAACAACTGCCTTTGGATACTTACTTATTATATGTATCATATTGGTAGTATTTGACAGGTAATGGCCTACAAATGAAATACAAAGTTCTATATTCCTGACAATGTTTTATATTGTGTAGATCTGCAACTTTGTGAAGGACACCACCATCCAGTGGATCGATGACCAGAAAGTTCCATATGCAACTAAAAACAATGAGTGGGTAGGATTTGACAACAAGGAAAGCTACAGAATCAAGGTATGAAGAGCTTCTCCCAGAACACTTAGTGTGTGTGAGGTGATTCCAACAGCGTCTCTTATGTGTGGTCAAACAGGTCAACTACCTGCAGCAGCAGAAGTTTGGTGGAGCCTTTGTTTGGGCCCTTGATTTAGACGACTTTGCTGGAAAATTCTGTGGAGAAGGAAGCCACCCTCTACTGAACCATCTACGCAGTCTTCTCAACATCGGTAAGGCGTGGTAGCATTCAGCCTCAGTCCACACTAGAAAGATACAATGTCTTCATCAGTGTTTTCTTTTTATAAAAGGGAAATACCAGTTTATGAGTGGTATTCATGTAGTAATACTACAATTCTGCCTGTACAGAGCTTCCACCAATGCCCTCAACCACCACCCCCAAGCCTGGCGCTAGCACTACGTCTCCAACCACCACCACCACCACCACCACCACCACTACACATGCTCCGGGATCTGGCTTCTGCAATGGCAAGGCCGACGGTCTCTATGCCCACCTCGACGACAAGACCAAGTTCTACATGTGTGCTGGAGGCACCACGTATGAGCGGGTCTGCGGAACTGGATCCGTCTTCGGTGACCACTGCAAGTGCTGCGTTTGGCCTTGAGCTTTCAGTGGTAGCGATGAAAATGTAGCTCAAACTAACAATCAAAAAGACTGCAAATCTCCTCTTCCATCTATTGTTTGTAAAACCATGTACTTACCTGTATTATAACTTGATACAGAAAAAAATGTAGTTTTGGGAAAATATGTGACAAGAAATCAAATTTGCCAACAAACTGAAACAACCTTTGTACGCATGACTACATTATTAACAGCTGCCAAAGTACATCTTATTGAAAATAAAGCAATAAAAACATTATTTAAGTGTAATTTTATTGTAAATAAAGCATATGAGATCATGTAAGGACCATTGTTATATTTGCAAAAGAAAGGGGGAAGTGTGTAAACCTCAGAACTATTTAAGCAATAGCTCATAGATTCCTCCTTCCTCATGGTGCCACCAAATGGTGCAGAAAAAAAAAATAATTTGGGGAAAATACAAATACATGTCCACAAGCATGTGGTGAGTGTAGGTATGCTTTTGTCTGTATTCAATGTTCACAAAAAAGTAAATAAACATTTTTGGCTGATTGGAGTTCAGGAAAAAAATGTTCCCCAATGCTTCGACCTAATACTTCAGGACGTGCAAAATGAAGTTTTGATGCAACACGTCAAAACTAAAAGAATATTACTATCACACAGTTTGTTGGGGCCCAATTATTTTCACATGCAAGCTTCTTCCCGTCTTCAAATATCCACATTTTTCTGATTGACAGCTACTGTAGGACATGGAGGCACAGCTAAACCTCCTTGGCATTTCTGCTAACCTCTCACTGGACATAAAAATGAGAAAAGCAGGCAACACTATGAGACCTGGGTTCCCTTTTTTCCTCCAGTTTAACTCAAATCAGCTCTGTCAGAATCTCTAGAATCACCTGAATTAATGATTACCTACAGCAGACCACAGTTTGAAACCGACGGACTGTGTGTCCAACCAGGAGCACCATGAGGAACTGTACTCTCACTGTTCCTTCTCACACTGTACACCTCCGACTTCCAGCATAAAACATCTTCCTGTCGTTTACAGAAATACTCAGATGCCTCTGCAGTTGTCAGGTGTACCAAAGGTGGTCAAGAAGCTGCATAGAGACAACTGCTGGGCCGCTTTGGTGTGAAAACAACCATCTTATGCTGAATGTAAACTACACAAAAATTTTAGATTTCTCCAGAAACAGATCAATCATGGTAGAATGAGTGGAGGTTATAGTGGAGTATAAACATGCCAATGTTCACCTAGATGCAACAGTTAAGCTGTTTACAAGAAGAATCAGAACCGAATGCACTTACTGAGGAAGCTTTGGTCCGTCAGTGCAAGACGCTGCATATCTTCTATAAGTCTGCTATGGAGAGTTGTTCAATATCTTCATCACTTGCTTTAGAAAGCCAGGAACTTAAAAATGTTGAAGAAGCTCATTGAGAAGCGTTGTCTCTTTTTGTCTATGGAGTCTGCTCTGGAACCTCTGGGGATTATTAGGCTGTAAACTTTGCACATTAATTTTAATTCATGAAAATGCGAATCAGCTCAATTTCTCTCCTGCCATCTTATTAGAAGATGGAATGCACTTGCTTAAAAATAAGGACCAGCTCTGGGCAGTAAAAGGGAAATGCATCGCAAGTCAGACTCTGATCTATACAATATGAATCAAGATCACAGTAGTGGGTCAGTTCATGGTTTGTCAGTTCATGGTTGGTCTCCTGTCCTGAATGTAATGGATTGCTGATGCATTACATGATATAGCTGCTATGTGTCCCGAATAGATATGCCACAGACATGCTTCATTATCAATTAAGATTATCTGGAAACTGTTCTGAACGATATGCAATGAGAGAACCAATCTCCCTGTGTACATGGCCGTGTATGACAGTCTGATAAGATAAGATATAACACATTTAAGAGAGCCTTATCTGTCGAGACGAGTCAGCTCTGACCCACCTGGATATGCTGATTTTTCACATACAGTGTGTCTGCCCCCTCGTCCCCCTGCAGCCCTGAGTATCCTCTCCATAAGACTGGGATCCAACAGCAGAGACGCTTATCCAGAAACGCTGTAATACTGACTGCTACAGGACACCCTTCCAGCTATCATCACTATCTACAACACGTCCATAGAAAAGCCTTTTGATATTAATAATGTTACTTTGTGTTAAATTTATCAAAATCAAATGACTTGAGGAAATAAAATGGGGTAGGAGGAGATGTTGGAAGATTATTATTTTTATTTATTTTTTTGTGTAAGAATTATTTCATTATTGACAAACAAAACTAGATTTTCATCCTTAAACTAGTTGCCAAGTGAATTGCATTAATATCTATATTTTTTAATAAAAGATTCCCAATTTCTTCACAGAACAAAGTGTGCTTGTGTAAAGCATTAACATCACAGCAGCCACAAAGCAACGGCAGTCTATTACTTTAAGTCGTTTCTTTCCTCCATTTAACTTTCCAGACCTTAAAGTAAGGAAGTTATAGCAAGAAAAAAAGGAAAGAAGACTTTTGACTAAGTCTGTCTAGGTGGGAAAGCGTCACCATCTTTCCTGGAAGTCTTCACTCTGTTTCAAGTGACAAGAGAAACTGAGAGTCTTTATTTGGTTTCAAAGATCCACAGTTACAGAATAACCCCTCTTATCATCAACCCCTGCCTGTTTTTCAGACCCTAATCCATACCTCCCGTCTCTGTGGTGGCAGCCATCTTCTACGGTGTAGTAAGTTGTAGAGTGTGGCACGTTTAATAGGATCTTCTTTGGTGATGAGCAGCAGTTTACAGCTGAGAGGAAGAGGTTAGAAAAGCTAATGAGGAAGGCCAGCTCTGACCCAGGATGCTTCCTCTACCTACTGCAGGTAGTGAGAGACAAATGGGCGATCAAAAATAACAGTGTCTCCCACATAGAGCTGTGGCAGACCTACAGAGCAATACAAGTGTGCGTAAAACTTATATTCCACTCAAGAAAAAAACAAACACACACACAATTTCACAGTTGTGTTTCCATTCAATAAGAAAGGCAATTAAAAATCAGTCATAAAATATTCTGCGCCATGACCCTCCTACCTCTTCCTGTTGTCTTCTTTGTCTTTTCCGCCCGTCACAAAACATTTGTTTGTTGATCGTATGACTGCCTGTCATGCAAAAAAAAGTTGTTTCCATTGTTATTTGTGAAATACAACAATTTGTATTTCACAAAACAACATGCACTAGGATGAGATAATTTTATCTCATCCTAGTGCAAAAACCTGTTTTATTGAAAATGTTTTTTTTTTAAACGGTATTTCCACTAAGCCAATTTATTTTCATAATTCCAATTATATGGCCAATGGAAAAGCAGCTGGTGACGTGTTATTAAATGATCTTATAGGATCTGACTATTTTTATCATGTTGTACATTTTGTATTAGTTTACATCTTATTGTCATTATTTTTGATTATGTGTATCTGTGTGCTTCCATCTGCCCATCATTCTGCTGTTTCCCCACCAAGGCACAATAAAGGATATTTCTGTTGTATATTTTATTATATATTGCAGGCTTTAGATAAACGGAGCACAGCTGTATTTGTTTCCATGTTGTTTTCAGTTTAGCTCTGACGGATTTAGAGAATGCATTTATTTATTTTTTGGTGTGGGAGCCCCTAAACAACTTCTTTTTTTTTTTTACCTTGCACCCTGCAGTCGGAAGGCATGTCTTCACTGATGTACACCATTGTGGAGGGCCCTTCTTCACATTTCTGATCTTTATTATTGATGTAAATATCTTCTTTCTCCCTGGAGGTGTCAGTATCCTACTGCTACGGTCCAATCCCACTGATTCCTTGTAAATAATGAAATGTTAATCAGCTTATCAAACCCCATGTTCAGCCTTCCTGCATCACAGCTACTAAACAGAAGATACATCCACTGCACTGTGAACATTTTATATTGTAAAAATGTAACCTTTTTTTTCTTTTAATAAAAGCTACAGCTTTAAGCAGACATACTGAAGTAATTCTGTCTGCGACACTGCAACCTGTCCGACCAATGCTGACGTGAAGGAATACTTTGGCCACTAGAGGGAAGTGTTGCTCCACAGATGGAGAGAAAGTCAATGTCACATGCTCATACCAACCTGCAGCTTTCACATAATGACTTTAATTAACTATGTCTATTTCAAGTGTGCAAATGTGTAAACTTTAATACTGTTAATTTTTGATTGTATCTTTTGTACGGAAAGATAATAAAACACATTTGACTCTAATCATCTGAATTATTATGCAGCTCCCACAAGTTTTACATTTCCCACAGCTGAACCATCATTACACTCATATGGTCTTTGATCCACTTGTTCCCCCCCACAGTAACCTGATGTAGTTTCAGAGAAACACCATCATATTTTGTTGCACAATTTCATATAAAGAATAAAATGATAAATGCATTTGATTGCTTGCTTGCTTAAATGAATACACAGTACGTAACCTTTTAAGCACTCTGTTTACATGCAGTAAAGCATGAACAAAAGAGACTTTCAAGATAAAGTATTTAAACAAAAAGAAAGTTTGAACCCTCATTTTTGACCCCGTGTCCTGAAATATGTTGTGCCCTTTTTTGGGACACAACATATTTATGGGGGCTCGTCCGGGATTTGAATCTGGGACCTCTCTCACCCGAAGCGAGAATCATGCCCTTTGGGGAGGGTGGTTGTGCTTCGACATGGGGAGTAAAGGTTTATATTTTTCTCTTTTTCTTCACAGAAAGTTAAAAGCAGCTGAACAAATCAGACTTTCAAGAAAAAGTATTTAAATAAAAAGAATGTTTGAACACTCATTTTTAACCCGCGTCCTCAAATATGTTGTGACCTTTTTGGATATAACAGATATTAAATGTTGAACTTCATGGCCAGACACGTCTAAATCTGTAAATAAAGGAAAAATGAATTTAAGGACCCGACTAAAGTAATGAAAACTTGTTGTATTTATAAGACAAGTGAAATATCAATGTTTCCTTGCTGTCAGTGAGGCTCAACTGACTGAGCAGTCCGCTACTGATCTCTAGAAAATGTATCACCCCAAGTTCACAGTGCAAAATCAACCTGTACAGTCACACTGTAACAAGAGTCCAAAGAGAAAAACTTCCAACTAGTGTAAAACTAGAAAAAATCAGAATGTCATCAACTCCAGGGGTCACATGGAATGTCCAAAAACTCAGCCAACGTCCAGAATATGTGGGGTTAGCCATGTTTTAGGTGATGTCCTTCTGCCTGGGCGGCCGGTGAATGTTCCTCACCACACACTTCACCATCCACTGAATGCCTTCGTTCACTCCGTCCCTGCAGCACAACGAGGGAAGAATCAGCAACAGGTGGATTTTTTTTTTTTCATAAAGTGTCTCAAACTGATGTTGAACTGAATCTTCTGAATCTGAAAGATGTTGATAAATATGTGTCTGACATTTTCCGCCTCTTATTATTCTGGCACTTAGAATTTCCAAAATTATTTCCAACTACCTAAAACAAGAGAAGCTTTATCTGGGTTAACTTAAGACTGTGAGAAAAAGTAAATAGGTGTTTTTTATTTGGTGTATATAAAGTGCATCTACTACATCCACTTGTCTCTTTAAACAATATACATTGTTAATGTTTGTGGTGAAAGGAGTGATTTCTGTTTTCGTTTAGGCAGTGAGGATGCCCTTGTCATGTGCCAACAGTCCAAACATTAAATACACTCAAAATGTGCATTCAACAAGCTACAAGTATTATCCTTCACACATTTATTAAGTGCCAAAAACACAAATAACTCTTTATATTGTCTGCTGAAACACAGCGCTACAGCCCAGAGGTATTTGTACCCTGTGAGGGCAGTGCAGGGCTGCACTAAGCAGTCTCTTTTGCCGATCTTCGGTGCCGAGTCACTGAAGGCTGTTTTGATGTCTGGAACCGACAAACAACTCTGAGAAGAGAAAAAATACACATGACAACCGTCAAAAGCAACACGAGGGCAAAGTACTACACTCACAAACTCTTTTCTGGTTTGTCTAATACTGTAGATATTTTATTTGCCATTTTTAACAAGTCAAAATGGACAAAGAGAAAAAAGAAAAATCAATGTTCACTAAAGCCAAATATAAGATTATTATTCTGAATAAAAAAAAAAGCTCAGAAACCATCAGACCCGGAGGAAAAGAAGATTCATTTCTGCTTTTATAACATCGCTGCCATCTCTATGTAAAGTCAGGAGTGTAAAAAGTTGGTTTTGTTCCTTTTTTGTTCTTCTTAGTCAAAATCACCACCTGTTCTCAACAGTGTGACTTTTACAGTAGCTGCACCATTTCCTTTACAAATGTAAGCAAATCTTTGTCTATATACTGCTAATGTCCCAAAAAAAATTCACAATTGCACAGTTGCAGCGTTTCCATTAAATAAGACATTAACACATGAATGAGCTTGTTCACACCATAAGTGATTAAAACTCATGGCAGTGACAAATGTAAACAGTTATATGAGATATATTCAGAATTCAGCGTTCATCGTCTCAGCCATCAACTTTTTATGAACTGTTGCTGCGACAGCTCTGGTGAACCCAGCTGAATTTTTTTTTTTTTTTTTTTTTTTTTTTAAAATTTGTGGTTTTTCCTTAATGGGTTTTTTGTCTTCCTTTTGGTAATGGAAAAAACCATTATTTT